GAACGGAGAAGCTGAGGAACCTCGTGTTTATAGATCAGGAGCAAAATGAGCCAAAGCACCATGCTTTGCAGCACGTCAATCCTCGAAGGATACCAGTCCGTCAGATGGTTGTGACGCTAAACCCTCCACTTTCGATCAACCATTGATGCAGCGGGCTGCCAATACCACACACTCCCAAGCTGTGGAGGAGGAACTTATGGTTCACATTGTCAAGCGTCTTACTGAAGTCAATGTAAATGATGCCGGAGGATTTTCCTTGGTACGGGGCTTGCAAACATTCGCGCTTCACCAGGAGCAGTTTAGTGATATATGAGCGACCATTCAAGAAACTATGGTACGCAGGAACCAAGTTTTTCGACTCTAGAACCTGCAGCAGACTCTACTTCGTAATCTTTTCTAGCGTGTTTGCCAAAACAGCGGTCAGGCAGGTAGTTGCCCACCTTGCTTGGGTTATCGCCTCTCCGTAGTGGCCTAACGACTGATCATTTCCAGTCGCTCGGTAATGAACTGGTGGATAGCAAACTATAGAAACGCTGCCCCTGAATGCGAAATGAGGGCCGACAACGACTTGAGGACCAGTTGGTGGATGCAGTCAACAACAACAACAAGCTTGGTCCATGAACATATACCACTTTTGTTTTAAACTGAAGGTTTTTAGAAACAAATTAGACATTTTGCAAACCAGTTTGGACGCATTTCATTCAAATCAGAAAATTAACAATTCGTCAACAAGAAAAGAGGAGAAAAGTGACCAAATGATGTTCGGACTTCATTGTGGTCACTTCATGCAACGTAACTGCGAAAGCGGTGGGCGGTTGTGGTCGTTACTCAGCTTGTGCCGCAACAGACCATTAAAACGATGTTAGGTTTGATGAAATCATGATAGCCTACACTGTGCTAATAGTCGTGCCGCCTCAGCCTCGCCCACACAAAGTGCACGAAAACCCATAGAGGGATAAGGGACAACTGGGTCATCGGCTTTAATCGAGATGAACAATACCCATGATCAAAAGAAGGGCTTGCGCAACTGCCCACCTCTTGCACACTTACGCTGCGTTATGGTCACCAAAGTGTGGCCTGAACATCGTCAAGTCGCCTTACTCCTTATTCTTTGCTAATAAATTGCAGCAGTAGGCCAATAAAGCTAGCGTGTGCTTGGTGGGGTCATGATAACCTACACTGCTCCAACTGTTATGCAGCTGCATAATTTCGGCAACACAAAGTACGAAGAGGAAGGGAAAACTAGGTCACCGTCTTTCTGCTTTATCAGTCACGGCCCAAGTGATTGAATTGGCCAAGGTGTACTTCAATGGGAACTGCAGGCCACATCTGGATTGCGTATCGTAAGCTTTTCACAGAACCAGTGCATCACATTGACCCTCCAATGCTAGGTAACATTAGTTTAAGTCACAAAAGATTACACGATATGGGGACTTGACTATGCAATCGTCTCATAACTACACAGGTTCACGGGGAAAGGTACAAGTACAGAAACTGCGCGAAGCTCGATGAGGGGAGTAAGCGAAACTTAGGCGCCAGTTTGATCAAGACTCTCGATGAAAAAGGAGGACTAGCAATGGCAGCAACTGCTTACACAATCCAGTTGCATTGTCATGAAACCAATGTGGTCTGAGCATCGTCCATTCAAGTTATGCTTTATTTCTTGCTAACAAATCACTGATTTTCTGCTTAGTATGCAGGGTGTGCAATTTGCTTTGCAAAACGTCACATTCGAAATGAAAATGGTACAACATACTCCCCATAATTGCATGATCCTATTCGACATAAGATGCCGTTTTATCGTCTTATCCGGCGCTCATGTAATACGCATTACGGGAACTTGACACGATGTCAGTGCGTCCTATGCACATCCCCGGATGGTCCAACGAAACTAGCTACTTTACATCTGACGATCAGATGGGGCAGGTTTCGAAACCGTACGCAAAAGCTGAACGCACAGTTAAGCATTTCTGTTATCATTAATGGTAGAATCATCAGCGCCACTTTATAAAAGTAGATTAGAGTTGCGAGAAATATCAAGCTCACACTTACGAATGGGTCGGATGGGAAAGTAATTTATAGGTGAGAGCCGGGAGCTGCAGTGGTAGCTCGGTCAGCTGCGAACCCCTGTAGCATCACCAATCCGTAACGAGTCGCACCTGAACGTTCCTCAAGGGTGGTGGGACCACCGAATGAGCAGTTGCGCTAAAATCCCCCTTGGAAACAAACCGGTTGGCACCAAAGTTGGACGTGGTCAGAATGAAGCAAACGTCTCACTGGGAGACTTCGTCACACTACCGTTATGTTACGAAGAGTTGGTTGTTGGTGCACCTACATAGATGGAATCGTGGGATGCTTAGACAATGACTCAGAAAAAGAATGTAAAAATATAACCAAAAACGAAGATTGGTGCGTCATCGTCCCGGATAGTAGTCCTAGAAATAATTACAGATATACTACAGACCTTTTACTGGGGAAAAAAGCCGCGCGATCAGTTGCTTCCATGCATTCATGTAACATGGGTGACGGTTCGGGTCGCAACACATGCGCCAACCGAACTCTGGTGTAAGGAACGAACAACTGAGGAATTAAACTGAATGACTTAGTGATATCACTGTTTAAAACGATATCATAAGTGGACCGAGAATGTAGGGATAGCCGTCTCTCCACTCCTCTGATCATGAAAGGCGCAACACAATCGTCCGGAAAGCACTTATGCCATCTCCCGCCATATGGCACCACATTGACCAGCGGTTTATGTCTGCTTCTTCTTCTTCTTCAGGGAATTCCTCACACGTCAACATATCACACACACCACAGTGTGCATAAGTGAATATCGACAGAGAAGTGAAAACGATTCGGCACATGGCGTAGAAAGAACAAGCGGGCTAAATTGCACAGTGAGTTCGACTACCACTTCATCACAAACGGATTGGTGTGTTCGAACCGTGCCACGCCCTGTAGAGGTTTGCAGTAGCAGTGAGCCTCCTGGAGGCCGCAGTCTACGGGACATCGCGATTATGATGGCAGGCTGATGAATCTCCGTTGCAAAAACTGATCCCAAGTACTAAAATTTCCATGTCCCTTAGCGAAGGACGTATCTGATATGTTTGTCGACAATGGAACCACATGGTGATAGGAGTTGTCGCAGCTGGTAGACGCGCTCCAACTTATGTAGTTCAGTTACACGCAACTAGGTTATTTATCGAACGTGGCGTTGTAAACTACTCTAATACACACTGAGCGAACGAAGCCGATGCAAAGCTAGCAGATACACAACCAATCAAGTGACGCTTTCGGGAGATGACCACAATTGCACAAGCCGGAGAGGTAAGACGAAACTGGATTGGTGCATCACGAACAATGTTCGACATAGCCCAAAACAGGGTAAAGGTGAACCGGTATGAGAAGTGGAGAATGCTAACGGATAACAAAAACCATCAAGGGAACAGCGACTATCATAAGGTGTAAATAATCCTTACGTGCACGAAACTAAAGGGTATTTCGTTGTTGCATGGATTTGATCTTGAATCTTAGAGGGCACACACATGTGTGTGTGGGTTACAAATACAAGAGAATCGACAAAAAGGCGAACGTTTGCATCTCGTGCAAAAACCACGGGCATTAAATACAACTATCGCTTCAACCGAATAACTAGGATGGTCAAGATGCACTTCGAAGTACCGGTGTAATACGAACACAGATATCGTATATATTTGCAACAACCTAAGAATAGGCATGGAGCCATCGAAAGCCATAGAACTCAAAGGAAGGTACAGATATCGTTAAAAATACACAATACAACACGGATGAGTCCATGGTTTTGTCAGAGGGCGAGGTACTAACCCCTTTGCGCAAGCCGAAGTAGGGTGTTGTATTAGGGGACACCACCCCGAGCGTCTGGCCGAATGGCTTGCCCGCAGAGCAACAGAGCGAATTCAGGGAATGGCGCCCATTCAGAGCTGGTAACCGAGTGGTCAGTGCGTACGCCTTTAATTTGTTCGTTTGCCAAACAGTGGCCCAATGCTCCCCAAAAATTTCAGCATTAAATTGCTGGAATACAATGCCTCACCAGTATGAAATAAGGGGCAGTGACTTTATTTAGTGGCGAGTCACATCCGCCACGTCACAGTGTTGTTAAACGGACATTTGTGACTTTTTATAGGGAGATCGCTTGGCAGACAAAAATCCACCACGTCCTGAAACACTGCCGCCGAACCATTTGCTGGAACGAGATAATCCCGAATCACCGAGCTGGCACCAAGTGGAGGTTGTTCGGCTAGCCAGCCTATACTACAAACACCATATAAGGTGCTCCCTAAACCCAGAAATAAAACCTCCGATTCGTTGGTAAAAGCGCTGCATGCAGAATCCAGTAGCCCAGTGAAAGCTGCATCAATTAGCAATCGCGCGGTATTAGGGATTCAGCTCCTAACTGTGAGGAACAGTCATCTCAATGTGAAAGTGGGAAAGAAACCGATCGAAGAGAGCAGAAACGGTGGGGAGCGATCTCAGCGGTTGCAGTTGGCATAAAAGTGGAACAACCACAAGCATGAGAACGGTGGTGTGGCCACAGCAGTATATGACAGACATTCCAAAAACTCAAGCATATTGCTAACCGAAGCAGCAAGCACTACCCAGAGAACCAGGCAGCCAAGTGGTAAAGGGGCCGAGTACAGCCTCGGCTACCTTCTTCCGAAAAGTCTAAACAAGGGCTGAAAGGGATGTGAACAGCAGAGTAGGAAACAACCAACATCGAAAACCCATCCAACTGAACTAAAACAGAAAAGATCAGCTGTATGTACGAGTAGGACGGAAAGTCGCGAGACGGTAATCACGTGGTCCAAGTCCACAAATGACCGGGCGTTTAGATGACAAAAACGTACCAATGAGATAGTCGTGTAGGCAGCTGTGAACGAGCGTGTCAGTACGGAAATGTATGACTAATCATCCCATCGCTGGGGCCAGATTGCTTCGGCTGAAGACGGATAGCACATAGGGAGGAACGAGGATTGTTTATCCAAAGCGAACCGTCCATGGTTTCTTGTTAATTTTTTAACCGTTGACTATATATGTATATATACAATGCGTAAAAAATCTGGGATTACAGACAGGTAGAAAAATAGCAGAATATAAAGAAAGTACTGGAGGACAGTTTTCACTCTGAACGTCCACAAGGGTCAAAGAATGGATCCCGACAAAGCGGGCACACTCGGGTGACGTTGGTCGTGAGATGATGATAAATGCAGGCGTAGTGAAACAGTTTGCGGCACGAGTGGCATTGCATTTTTGGCAGACTGAAATTAGTGTTGTGCAGGATGGAGTAGCAAATGGCGCACTCTTCAACCCCTTCAAATTTCTTGCGCACATTCTGTTGCCACAAGTCGATTCCATTGAGAATGGAGCCGTTCTAAGAGAAAGAGAGAGAGTAAAACAGAGATCGAGAAACGAGTCAAGTTAGTGCACCCGAGAGTAGCATTGTTTCATATTGAAGGGAAAATGACTGAGGCATGATTAAGATCACTATCGGAGTGTAAATGATCTAATCCTAAGAAGAAATAAAAAGTGTCCCAAATGCGACCCAGCAAGAAACAACGGGATTTCAGAATAATGGACCTATTGGGACAAACGAGTTAATAGCAAGGGGTTGTAACTCTGGGGACTAAAGCTACCATCTGCATCCGGTTAAAGTGCATGATAGCAGCTTCATCCAACCTGGTAATCAGCTATGGCGGTCCGTCGCAGTCACTCTAGCTACCTATTTGGAAGATTGTGGTGGACTTCAATAGAGGATGAACACACTTGGCTGGATACACATGTTGATATGAATAGGAGCTGACTTCAGCGGCGTTCGTGTAGTGCGTTTCTTTGTCCCTCCCACTTTAACCACGATCTCAATTGATATGCATAATATAATACTTCTTTTTGAGGCACAATAGCCAATAGGCACAATCGCTCTCCGGAACAATGTCCATCGGGGGCTGATGATTCAGCCGGCGTGCCTTTGTTGCATTTTTTTCCCTTCTCTTTTCTAATGTATTGCGGCACAATAGCTGAGGTATTGTCCACCTCCAGCTAACGTGTATAATGATGATGAATGATGGTGGGCTTCAGGGGAAATGTGCTGGATTAACCAGCCCCAATAGGACCGAATGACCACCCGGTACTTCATCGGAGGTGCGCTGACTGTTGTGTCAGATCCGACAGACACGAATCACCCAAAAATCATAACAACAATATGCAGCTTCTGGGGGCATCGGCATTTGTGGACACACAAGAAGAAAATTAAAAAGTGAAACCGTTTGTGTATAAATGCGAGTAAATACGAATGGTTAATTGCAGGTGCTACGTAAACATTTACGCATCCACGGTTAACGCGGCAGAGTGGAACAAGAGAAAGCTGTGTTTGATTAAACGACTCGTAGTCGTAATTCGGATTCTCCACACCAACACGGGTACCAAAACATTGTGTTAAGGGAACAAGCACTCCCTTTGCTAGCAGCCCGTAGCAGTTGACCATGACGCAGGCCGAAGCTTATTGGCCAACCGATTAGAGCGGGCTAATGATGACACTTTACCTTGAAGTCCGCCAGTGCGCGCTAAGCCATTCCCAGATTAACTATTGATTCGACTCCGTTATTTGAGTTGTTTAAACTACTTGCCGGGTGCTCAATACAGTTTTCGCCTGAGGCCCTTGTCTTCTAATCTGGAAGGTCGGTCGGTCAGGTTGCGCACTAGCAGTAGGGTATCCGTACAATTAGCGGAAACCCAAACACATTGTCCATTGGTGATAGACACGGCATAAGAAGCAAAAGTAGCCATTCTACAAATAGCACCTGTCCTTCCACGGACACAGACAATATCCCAACGCATCCCGGAAAACTCCAAGTTGGTCAAAAAGTTGATCCTAATGCGGGAATGCGTAAGCTAGCAACAAAGCCGAATCCGAGGATGACAAGTGCCGTGTGCGGATCCTCGACGCAGATTTGCACTTGCAAGGGCACAAGGATGAGACAAGTCACTCTGAAATTGTAACATGTAAAAAGGCCCATCATCAGACAGCAATCAACCAAAGTAAACAAGAATACAACTGGGGGCAAATCTCTTCAAGACAAAGATGAATCCAAAGCCGCCCATTAAGTTGATACCCAGCAGGTAGCAGAATACAAAAATTCCGCCACGATGTGACAACACCCAGAGACTGCTTCATGGTAATAGCTGGTGCCAAATTAGGGCAAAGACATAAAGGGTTAAAGAAGAATCAAGATTAGAGATGAGTGCCTGATTTAGAATTCTCGCGTAAACCGTCGTCAGAACCCCACGTTCTCAAGGCAAGAATTATGCGCCATAAGTGCCCAACCGGGCCGCGAAATTGGCATCTAATTTGTCTGAACAATCAAATTGATGTATTAAGGACAGACTGGACATTTTAAGCAAAAGGAACAAAGGAATGGTAATACATAAAAAGTCAACAATTCAAACTAATTTGCCCAGGTAATCAGCAAACCGTTACGTAACAATACCCATCGGTTTCAAATGGCGGAGTGTAGAGCCTAGTCAAAGTACAGTATCTTCTTGCAGGAACCTTACCAGAAACGTTCACACGTGTTTATGTGTTTAAAGTTATGCTAATCACGCGTTTCAGGCATCGTGCTTAATATATGGTTGGCGGCATCCGGTTTCGGATTTGCCTGTCAATGTGGCCAGCCACAAGACGCCTGCGCCTACAGAGGGACCATGGGTGGCTTGCGCTGCACCACCTACACACCCCATATCCAGTGTAAACCCGAAGGAATAAGACCGGCAGGCATGTGGATGGGAGCCACGTTTCATCAACGGAGCCAGCCCACACTCCTTCAAAGGTAAACACAAGCACGCTGTATTTGGGAATCAAGCGCATACAACGCGGTGGTCGGACCGTGGTCCGCTACACACTCAGTGCATGGAACTACTCCTCGAGCCTAACACGGCCGCAAAGACCGTGCACCTCGTCCTCTCCAGCAACGATCAACTGTCTCCTGGAGCCAGTATGGACGAGGGAGTGGGTAATAGACAGGTAGGCACCTTGTCAACATGCACATCAAGCGGAGCCACACCGGGGATATCAAGCAACAGCCAATCACTTGAAGTGACATTATCAAGTAAAATATATCTGTTAATGCATACAGCTATGCGGACATAGCTCTTGGCTAAATTAGCATATGATGTAAGTTGGTTAGCAACGGATAAGCGACTAGTACAAAATGTCAACAAGTTACTCGAAATATACTACAAACGCAATAAAGTTAACGAGGAAAAGCGCAATTAGCGTAAGCAACACGTGTGCAAGTTAATAAATTATTCAGGTAGACAGAACGAACCAATTAAATTGGGATGAAATTTATCCAGCCTAAAAAGACCTAGTTGAAGTGTAAGATGGTTTAGCCCAGCTGCGATGACGAAAAGCATCATGAATGTAACATCAGCCTCAGCATGGGGCACACAAAAAATATATATATTTTGTACCCCATGCTGAGGCTTATGTTACATTCATGATGCTTTTCGTCATCGCAGCTGGGCTAAACCATCTTACACTTCAACTAGGTCTTTTTAGGCTGGATAAATTTCAACCCGAATTTAATTGGTTCGTTCTGTCTACCTGAATAATTTCTATTAACTTGCACACACGTGTTGCTTACGCTAATTGCGCTTTTCCTCGTTAACTTTATTGCGTTTGTAGAGAACGCCTACACCAAGTCAAGAAACCAGTAACCCCAGCAAGCAGGACTTGAAGTGCGGTTACAAGGCAAAGGTGGGGGGGGGGAGCAGACCGTTGGAAGAACATGGTTGCGAAAGGCAAGATAAAAGAATCAACACAGCGTATTTTTGGCTTTGTGCAAAGTAGAATCACCACGACAAACTAATGTTGTATGCGTGCACAAGACTAGGTGGATGTACCACATGTGATAGAAAATCGAAGAAGTCACTTCACCAAATAGTAAAAGGTCAGCGCAATCTGCTAACGATTTGACCATCTATTGGCATAGTAAACAAATATGTGTTGCTACCGCTGTTACCAAACTAACCGGGAAGTGCCCAATGTGTTTTATACTGTAGCAAAAAACCGTCCAAAACTATGAGGCTGCGCAACATTATCACATCCACTGAATAAAACGGACCCAAGGTATCAACAGGATATCGACACACCGTACCGACGCTTCGCGGTCACGCAAGGGCTGTGTCTACCGCGTGGCGGTCAACACCTACGCGGACTCGAACCGGTGACTTCTGGATTCCAAAGTGGAGACGATATTTTTCCGTCACCGGCAAAAGATCGTATCATGTGAATGTTTACTATTTTTGTTTCACGAAAGACTATCAACTCAATAGACTGTAGTCAAAGTCGAACCGTTTATGCTACCCAAGTCGGGTGCCCCACATTAGTATTGACCAGAAACTCAGGTAAGGAATGCTCTGCGCCACTACGTTTAACTCGATGAGTTTCCAGTATGAATAACAGATAACAGAAAAAAGGTCATCGTCATTACACAAGTTAGCTAGAGGTGGGAAACATCTCAGCTACTGTGCCGCAATATATAGAAAAAAATGCAACGGGTGCAAGCCGGCTGAGCTACCGGTAAGGGATGGACATCGTTCCGGTAAACTATCAGCCGGCTACTGTGCATCAAATAATTACTATGCAAAATTATTTAAGCCTCAATAATGAGATCGTGGTTGGAGGGGGAGGCTAAGAGGGATGGGGTGGGACAAAGAAACTCACAGCCCGAACGTCACTGAGGTCGGCTCCTAGCCATATCAGTAAGTGTGTCCAACCAAACGTGTTCACCGTCCTTAGGATCCCAGCCAGGCAGTCGGGATGAACCAACCGACGCCAACTTCGAAGTGAGGGTTTTCATCTCTCTCGACCAAGTCATCGTTTAGCCACCCCTTCTCCTCTTCCAACCGCACCCACAACGCACAAACATTGCACGTCGCGGAAGTCGGTGTGCTGGCATGCGCAACACGTGGCCCAACCTCGGAGCCTGGTGCGTGATATAATGGTGCTGAGCAGTTCACTCGTTCTTCCTTCACCTAATACGCGACGCCGAACACGATCATAGCTCATGCGGTGCTCCCACCAGACATGAGCTAAGCTGCGAAGGCAGCGGTGATGGAATGTGACGAGCCTCTTTATGACTGTCGACCTGATGGGTCAAGTTTCACAACCATCTAGGAGAGTTGAACGGACAGCTGCGTTATAAACCCCGCCCTTCAGGGCGAGAGGAATATCGCGTCTACAGGTCGTGTTTATAGAAACAGTGAGGCGTATCTCCCTCAGTCAAAGCGTGCAGAGCATACCCAACTCGTTGATGTGTCCCGTTAAAGGAATAGCTATTGTCCAATACCACCAGCGTGCCCGCAATGGTGCGG